AGAAGGCAGTTGTGGGATAACCTGCCCATAGGAGAAGTTTCTGACTCATTTCTATTAATTACTCAGACCTAATCTCCATTATTGGCTAATGCCCTGAGGCAGGAAAGTTTATATCCCTGCCAAACAAAGTGAAATAAGTCCGTCTCAGTCTACCGCTGCTCAAGGGTATGGCACACACCATTGTGCTTGGATTGCCCAGGAAACGCACTAGCTTCTCACTCTCCTTCGAGATACAAGGGTGACTAGCACATTTACAGCCTGGCCTCCTGAGGAATAAAGCCTTGCACAATCTACCAATGGCAATTTCATCTTCAGATCACAGCACTCATGGAGAACTAATGTCCTGATAGCTCTGAGACCACTGTTCTTACCTCCTGCAACAGAGTCCACTCCTCTCTAGCCTCCCCTCATGGCCAGGCACGGCCTCACCTCTTTCCCGCTGGGGAAAGCCCCTGCTAATGCTCACTCCAGTGCTGTGGTGGTTTCTCTGTAGGGTGACCAGACAGCAAGTGTGAAAAATCGGGACGGGGGTGGAGGGTAATAGGAGCCTATATAAGAAAAAAAACCAAAAATCGGGACTGTCGCTATAAAAACAGGACATCCGGTCACCCTATTTCTCTGCCTTACGAGCTGGAGGGACCAGAGAGGCCCGCTTCAGAGACCGGGTAGGATGTAGCCCAGGGGCAGAACTGCACCGTGTGGTGGGTGTATTTGGTCAGCGTGGCATGGATGGCCCCCCGCTGACCCAGCAACGGGACCTTCGCCTCCCACCACTGTCAGGGCCCTGGGCTGGAACGCAGTGGAGTTGGGTGGGCCTGCGTTCCCCTCCCCCGGCCAACCTACCTTGGGTAGCAGAATCGCATGCTACAAACCCGAACTGACGCTCCCCGGCCTGAGGGGCGCGCTACGGACTCGTGCCGACGCTCCCGGCCTGAGGGGCACGCTGCAGACTCGCGCCAACGCTCCCCAGCCTGAGGGGCACGCTACAGACTCGCGCCGACGCTCCCCGGCCTGAGGGGCGCGCTACGGACTCGCACCAACGCTCCCCGGCCTGAGGGGCGCGCTACGGACTCGCGCCGACGCTCCCCGGCCTGAGGGGCGCGCTACGGACTCGCACCAACGCTCCCCGCCTGAGGGGCGCGCTACGGACTCGCGCCGACGCTCCCCGGCCTGAGGGGCGCGCTACGGACTCGCGCCGGCGCTCCCCGGCCTGAGGGGCGCTACGGACTCGCGCCGACGCTCCCCGGCCTGAGGGGCGCGCTACGGACTCGCGCCGACGCTCCCCGGCCTGAGGGGCGCGCTACGGACTCGCGCCGACGCTCCCCGGCCTGAGGGGCGCGCTACGGACTCGCGCCGCGCTCCCCCCTGAGGCCCGGACTCGCCCGCCTCCCCGCCTGAGGGCCGCTACGGACTCGCGCCGACGCTCCCGGCCTGAGGGCGCGCCGGACTCGCGCCGACGCTCCCCGGCCTGAGGGCGCGCTACGGACTCGCGCCGACGCTCCCCGGCCTGAGGGGCGCTACGGACTCCCCCCCGCCGAGGGTCGTCCGCTCCCCGCCTGAGGGCGCGCTGCGGACTCGCGCCGACGCTCCCCGGCCTGAGGGCGCGCTGCGGACTCGCGCCGACGCTCCCCGGCCTGAGGGGCGCTGCGGACTCGCGCCGACGCTCCCCGGCCTGAGGGGCGCGCTGCGGACTCGCGCCGACGCTCCCCGGCCTGAGGGGCGCGCTGCGGACTCGCGCCGACGCTCCCCGGCCTGAGGGGCGCGCTACGGACTCGCGCCGACGCTCCCCGGCCTGAGGGGCGCGCTGCGGACTCGTGCCGACGCTCCCCGGCCTGAGGGACGCGCTGCAGACTCGTGCCGGCACACTTTCTCCGCTAATTCCCCAGCGCCCGAAAGGTGTGATTGAGGCCTGCCCATGGGACCATAGCTCTCCATCGCCCCTTTGGGGCTTGGTGGACCGATTGAAACCTGTCACAGACCCCTTCAGGCCGCTCTGAAGGAGCCTTCCAGTGAGTGTAGATGTTATGCGTCCCATCCCAGAGCTGCCTAAAGGAGCCTTTGTGGAACTGAGATTCAGGCCTACAGATCGTTAAGAAGAAGCCAAGAGGAAGGGAGGCATTCGAGGAAACAGTCGCAAAGTGCAACCTGGGAAATGCAGCTACAGGGCAGAGAGCCTGAGGTGCTGAGCACCCACAGCTCCCAGGGGAGTCGGGGGTGCTCAGCAGTTCTGAAAGCCATTGCCCATAAGCTCAGCCGTGAGTCCAGATCTTGCTTTGCGTTGCCTGCTCGCCTCTGGTTCCGTGGCTGTTCCTCCTCAGCAAAACAAGTGTGTCCATACTGGTATCTCTGGCGACACTGGCAAGGGTAAGGGGAGCAGCAGCCATAACACCACCTGTGTTGCCTGCGGTAACACCATGGCTTCCAGCCCCTGCCACAGCAAGGGTTGCAGCAGCCAGGATGACGGATCTGTTGGGGGTGGAAATACATCTTCCTGCTTTGGAGGTAAACCTGAAACGCACAGCAGGGAAAAGAGTCAACAGAACACGCGGTGGCCAGTGGAACGAAGGGATCAGTGCTCAGTTACTGTTCCACCTGCAGCCATGGAGAGAAAGAGAGAGACTGAGCAGGGACATTGTTACCTAGCCCCTCAATTCCTGGCTATATTTTGCCCCCTGTTTCCTCCTCTTTTTTAGTCCTTTTACTCCATGTTAGACACCCTCCTAACCAGCCACTTTGAACCCTTCTCAATCCCTTGGTTTTAAAAACACTGACTGGAGTAAGTAAACATGCGATATGATGTATGGCTATCATGCATGGAAGGGATTTTTATTGCTTTTACAAAATGTCTCTACCAACGTCGGCAGAACCTAAGCTAAACTTCCTAAGGTTACTTTCCTTGTGAGGATTTCCGCTCAGGGTGCAAACCACGTCTCTGCACAACCACAGGGTAGCACTTTGGCTTCTAGAGCTTGTGAGTCAGCTATTTCTGCTAACGAATGAATGGAAAATACTCTGTACCCAATACCAAATGCTAAGGGCCTGATCCTGAGCAGGGTTAAATCAGCTTCGTTACACTAACTTCATTGGAGACATGCTGACTTACACCAACCTAAGATCTGCCTCTAAAATTGCTCCTTGCACACATCAGAAGAGAGGAATTGTCAGACTTGGTCAGACCGGTGGTCTGTTTAATCCAGGCTCCTGTCTCAAAGAGTGTTGAGAATTAGCTGCTTCCGAATAAACTTGACAAACACGGAAATGATCCTTTATGGCACGGGTGGCCAACCTGAACCTGAGAAGGAGCCAGAATTTACCAATGAACTTTGCCAAAGAGCCACAGTCATACATCAGCAGCCCCCACATCCACTACCCCTCTCCAGCCTCCAGCGCCTCCAGCCCACCGGCAGCTCCGCCAATCAGCGCCTCCCCCTTCCTCCCCATGCCTCCCGCCTACCACAATCAGCTGTTTCGCAGTGTGCAGGAGGCTCTGGTGGGGAGGGGGGAGGAGCGAGGGCATGGCAAGCTCGGGGGAAGGGGCAGGAGCCTTGGGGGTAGGGATGGAGTGGTGGCAGGACCTGGGGCAGAGCAAGGGGTTGAGCAGTGAGCACCCCACAGCGTATTGGAAAGTTAGCTTCTGGAGCTCCAGCCTTGGAGTCAGCGCTGATGCAAGGAGCCACATATTAACCTCTGAAGAGCCGCATGGTGCTCCGGAGACACAGGTTGGCCACCCCTGCTTTATGCTAGAGTAGTTTCTTCCCCAAAACCCTCACTTAAAGCTGGGCTATGAGGTTATTCCACGCCACTGGGGAGGTTCCAGTTCCCTATTTTCAATTCAGAGTAATAGGAACTGGGGATCAGACAAATGTCTGCTCTGCAGTTCTCACCCTCACCTTCCCAAGCATCAATTCACCAATGCCGGCAACTTAAGAACCTCAACAACAAAATTAGGGGAAAACTCCTTAGCATTGCTAAGAATCAGAATCAATGTACAACATTCAGTCCTAAATGACAGCGATCACTAACATGACACGTCAATTGTATCGAGAGATTGATTCAACTCAGACTTACCCAGTCGCCAAGGAGAGTAAGTCGAGAGAAGTGGTTAGAAAAACCTGGGCTCACAGGAGCTTTTATACTGTCTAACAGACCTCCGGGAGGATCTGAGACACCCTTTGTGTATGAGATCCTGCTTAGTTACCAAACAAATTTTGTTGCGCACATCAGTCTTTCCACTGATATAATGGTTTTCCTTATCAATATTAATCTATTGCCAATCTCATGTGGAACAACAACCATATGATACACCCTGCAGAAGTCTTTGATATGAAAATTTTCATGGGAGATCTACATTCCTGTTATTTTCTTGACTTCACTGGAGTTACAACGGGAATGAATCTGAAGGAAATTGAGCTAGATCAGTGCAACTGGTATAGGAATCCAGTCCAGTCCTTTAAATACAGGCGGGTATTGGTTAGGGACATTGTGGCATATACCACTGCAGTTCTTTAGAATCAGGGAGCCTTCACCCCTGGCAGAGGGGCAATACAAGGCCTATGAACAACTTTCACTTTCAAAATAGGTCTTCTCAGACATAAGTTTGCATAGACTTTTGTTCTGCCTTGGGGTGAGTTTCACCTTATCGGGATAAGAAAATCATCTCTCAATAGACCTCCCCTTATCAGGGTGATCATCAAAACAGAACTATACATTTCTGCTTATTGAATTGCTGCTCACTGTTTGTGTTGAATGCTGGTGGTACAGTGTTTTCTAAGGGCTTGGAGTTGCAACCTCAGCACTCACATCTTCATCCATGAGCACCTACGAGAACTGAGGTCTCCTGAGAAAATGCAGATGATGTAGCCCACGAGAAACACAAAAGAGAGGGAGAAAAGGCAGGAGACTGATATGGGATGATATTACACCAATTCAGGCTCTGACCAGCCAAAGGACATGCTTCCAGATCCCTCTCTTGCAGAAAGTGTTCCAGCAATAATACTTACTCAGTTATAGACATCCCAAACAGCGCTTCGGATTGCAGGGGTCATGAAAGTCACAGTCGGACAAATTTACACCAGCTGAGGATCTGATGCATAACCTTTAAAATGCAATTTTATACAAAAGAGAAATATATCACTGCTATTCAAGGAAAATCAAATAGCTACAAATTCTGAGGCTAGAAATCATGACCTGATTAAGGTGTAAACAGGAGAGAGATAGAAATATATGTTTTAAAGAAAATCTATTACTCAAAAGATGGGCATCTTCCAAGAATAACAAATTATTATAATCATGCAACACTTTGCATATATAAAACTTTAATGAGTGTTTGTGAAGTGCTTTTAGAGCCTGAGTTTTGAGCAAGCCTCAGAACATACTGTGGGAGTGTTGTTATCCTCATTTGATATGCAGATAAACAGGGGGAAATTGAGTTGGAGATCACAAAATAAGTCAGCTGAAGAGAAAGAAGTAAAACCCAAATGTCCTGACAATTCGTGCCACATGTTACTCTCTGGGTTGAGCACTATTAGCCTGCATTGCAAGACAACGTTAGTAAAGTGTCTTCTTAATAACATTTCGTGATTTGGGCTTCTTAACATGCAATTTACATGACTGTCATTGTTAGAGAGACTCAGTCATTTCCTTGTTATGTTTGGCAAGCGTCTAGATGATTCTTTTTCTGACCAAAGCAAAAACAAAGCTCACCTATATACTGTATTGTTCCACTTTAACTTGGCCTTCCTAATCCATGGCGACAATAATTCACCAAAGGAATGGTAAGTATGTCAATTACATAGTTGATCATAGTATGTCAATTACATATTTGGTGGTGTAGGATCAAAAACTTCTTTTTAGAACTCAAATATCAAAGTTTGTGAGGAGACACGTACGGTCACTGCTGTGCAGAGGAACCAGGAGATGATTCCTTTAGAAACTTGTCAAAACAAAACAAACAAAAGAACCCATGAATGAGTCTCTCTATGAATTACTCTCTTGTTAGTGATTTGTTTAGAATCCAACAAAGTGAAGGGTCTGACAGGGTTCAGGATCAATGGGAAGTATGTGGCACATGTTAAGACTAATGTGTCTACTTCAGTCTCTGCAGCTTACTTCCTGTAAAACCTTATTCTCAATGTGCCTTTGTTTATCCACGTATAAAACAGGGATGATATCACTCATTATGGATGTTCCACTTCCTTGGCACTCTGGATATCAAACCTCTTCGCAAACACTCATTAAGGCTTTTGATGTCTAAAATATTGTATTATGATACTAATAATAGTTTGTAGCAGGAAAACACCCTTGTATTGAGTAACAGAGTCACTTTACAAGGAATTAATATTCTAGATCATTCCTGTCAGTCCACTATTCAGATTGTGATTTTCCCTTCAGAATTTGAAGCTTTGCATTTCCTTTCATTATACAAATTCCTCAGAGCAGGAGACTGACCAGCAAAGATCAGCATAGCCCCATAATCTTCGAAGGTGTTCAGAGCCTTTGAATCACAACAAGGCTTCTCACCCTTGCCTGGTTACAGGAAACATCCCATAGAGACTCTGGTACGCTCGAAAAATCATTCTCGTCATAGTAGACAAGCATGCTGCAAGCTCAAGGTCTTGCAACATGCCCTAAGGCTGATGAGATTTTCAATTAATCTAGTCTAAGCCCATAGCCTTAGCCAAGAAAGACACATCTCCATCTTTCCTGTCTTTTCCCTGAGGCTTTATCTGCTGCTTTTTCATGCAAGACAAGAATTGTGTTGGCTGTTCTTGGATGGAGATTGTGTTACGGATGCCAGAAACGTAAAAGGTTTATCTCAAAGGCTTTATCAAACATAACTTGTTTTCACCCACCTCCAACCCTCACCTCAAACCAAGAGCAGCCCTGCAAGAGGAAGCACAGTGAGCTTCTGCCATGGGGATCGCCCTGATCCCACCGCACTGGTGCCACAACTGAAGTTCGATTATGAACTGAATTTCTAATCAACATAAAGCGAAACCCATCCCTAAGCGGAGAGTCAGCACAAACGCCTGTGCAAATCTCAGGTCCCTGTTAAGATCTCTTTTGAAAGCATGTGTGACTAAAGTGGTTCAGAGGCCTTACACTGTCCTTCTGACCTACGGAAATTTCAAGCCATACAGCCTAAATGCTCTGTTCCTCCTAGGAAATTCCATCAGGAAGACTGCCCTGGGCCCCCACTACATACCAACACATATCAGTGTAGCTTTTATCAGACCAAACTGGAATCCTCTGCACGATAACAGATTGTGCAACAGATACCGTTCTTAATAGCCGGGTCATTCCTGCAGTGACTCTGATGGGTTCACCAGATTGATATCAGGAACAAATTGGTTCCATAAAACTTTCAAGATGCATGCAATCCACGTGAGGTACATAACTCAATAATCCTGAAGACTGAAGAAACCAATTATAAATATTGAAGGAGTGACGTCTGCAGCAAAATATTTTTTCTAATTAAGACCTCAAGCAAAAAGGGTGTCTCAGATTCTCCAGGCCATCTAAGAACCAGTATAAAAGAGCTCGCGACTCAGGGTTCTTTAACCGCTTCTCTTGACGTCTCCTCCTCAGTGAGCTGGGTAAGTGCGATTTAACTGAACCTCTCCATAGCTATCCAGATGTCGCGTTAGTGATCATTTAAACTGTGGGCTTAATCTTGCACATAGACTCCGATTATTGTCTATGTTTGCGGTGTTTCACTAAAAAATGTGATTATTAAGTTGCAGGCATTGGTGGATTCATGGTATACAAGTGAAGGTGGCAATTTTTTGCGGAGGTACATAGGCATTTGGGACACAAATTCTGTTTATTTTCACTAAGAAATAGGCATTCAAATCCCTTAGGCAGCTTTGAAAAAGCTCATAAACCACTTTTAACTTCGTGGTGTTAGAAACAACCCCCACCTTGAGTTAATTACTCAGTAGACCAAGTCTGTGTTCTTCCAATGTATTCTGCAGCAGGTCGTACTCAACAGCAGCTCAGGCAGATTGCTACATTAGATGGATCTCTGCTCTGAACCAGTACGGCAATTTCTCTGTTCTTATGTGCTCTGCTAGCAACGATAGGTGCAGATCCCCAGCTGGTGTAAGTTAGCTTAGCACCATTCATCTCCATTGAACAGTGGCGATTTCCGCTGGCTCGGGCTCTGGTCCTTAACGTTTTGTACTGACGAAGAATATTTTCCATACATACATGGTCAAGTATTGCTGACTCACAAGCTTTAGAAGCCAAAGTACCACGCGCTCTCTCTTTCCACGTGGCCCCCATTTCAATGGGAACTGAGCTTTGACCCGTTTATTCCACTGGCTCTAAGGCATTATGGTGACTCTTTTCCTTTCTGTGTGTTTCAGGTTTACTTCCAACGCATGGAGATGTTGTTCCACCACCAAAAAAAGATTTGCAAACCTTGGTGCTGTAAACCGCACCAAAAGATTTGTAAACCTTGGTTCTGTAAACCGTGGGGTTATGGGGACTCAAGCGGTTACGGAGGCGATTATGGACACTGGCCGCCATGCTCCTGGAAAAAGCCATTCAAGTGCTGCTACCCCTGCCCCTACCCCTACCCCTGCTGCTACCCCCACCCCTATCCCTGCGGCCCCACAAACCTGTATCCATGTTTCGCTGAGGAGGAATAGCCATGGAACAAGGAACAACCAACAAACGAAAAGCAAGATACCGATTCACGGCTGAGCTCATGGACAATGGCTTTGGGAAATGCTGAGTGCCCACAACTCCCAAGGGAGCTGTGAGTTCTCAGCACTGCAGGAAACCTGCACCAGATTTCTGTTTGCCAGGGGACACTTTAGCACAGTTTCCTCTAATACCGCCATACTCTCTCCTTTACTCTAGCTATCTGACGGCCCGAATCTCAGCTCCATCATGGCCCCTTTCGGCCTCTCTGACAGTGTCAATGCAGCAGGGGCCTGTGAGTTCATACAAATGATATTTACACTCACTCGAAGGCTCTTTACAAACCAACATCCTGGGACGTAAGTGTCAATGAGAATTAGGGCCTATGTTTTCTAGCCTTTCCATAAATATGTACCATTTGTTTCCAGTCTCAACACTGCTACAGAAGATGTATAACAGAGAAAGAACTTAGTCCTCTCCTGATATTGTGCTTTGTCTAATTAGACTGGGGCTGGGATAACACAATTAACTGAAAATGGCTGCAAACAGGATTTGATTGTCAAACTCTACAGCGGCACCAAAGAAAGAAGAACATCTGATGGGAAATGCATCATCTGGGAGCAGTTCATTTGTTGTAATCCTGGAAAACCTAGCAATGTATTTTCTACTCTGCATTCTGTCTGTTCCTATGTAATCCTATCATATTAGCATTAAAGGGATTCTGAAACATGATAGCAATCCTCTGGTTTCCTTTCTCCTGCATTCCTCATTTACCAGTCTCCGTGAGTTAGGTGCATAAATACTTTGTGACTCAGGCCCTGTTGGTAACAATTTAGTCCAGCGCAGGGAGCCAGTGCCTGTGCACTACCATTCGAGCCTATGGTTCCCCTTTTAGTGCCAACTAACACCAGTCAGGTGTTCGGTATCCCGTCTCATCGGGAACAGCTCAACCTTGTCAGTCACAGTTTAATGCCTGACAAAGGGAGCCTGGTGTGATCCAGATGGGCAATGCCAGAGCTTAACCGGTTCCTCCCATTCCCTCCCATGCCCTGAGCTTAGCGAGCAACCTGGTGTCCTCCCCACAAGGTACTCTCACCTCTCATCATTTTTAATTCCCTGGGCTTCAGATTCAAGCGTAAGAAATCAGAAACCTTAAAGGGGTGTGGCCTTGGTTTTAACAATGCACATGGAGCTTTTTCAGTTGTGCATCTCACACCAGTTTGGAAAAGAAAAACAGTCGTTGATAAACATTCAGATTAGGGAAACCTAAATCACCCCATTTTCTTTATACACCCTGGGCTGCTGTTTTGAAGCAGGAGATGTTTTTTTTATTGGACACTCATGTGTGAGCGTGTGCTGTGACATACCAGTGATCGACATCCAATTCCCCAGAAAGGCTCAGAGCTTGGATAAAATCAGCCGTGTCACAAAATGTGAGCGAGGCGAGCAAGTTCATAGTTCTAGCCTGATCTAATACTGTGCATTTAACTTCCATAAAGGGTGTGGGGAAGAATACATGAACACATTTTCATTTAGATGTTCTTTGATTCATTATTCCTCAGATGTCCTCTGCGACACACCTATCTGCTTTTGTTCACATTCCACAGCTGGAGAAACTGAGGCACAGAGGCATCCAGGGATTTCCTCACAGATGTGGGAAGTGATTTGCTCGAGTTCACACAGTGAGGCCCTGGCAAAACTGGGATTAAAACTCACAATTTCCAGACTCCCAGCCTTTCTGACTCTGTTACCCCGCCATGGAAACCCCCTCATGTCTTGCTGGTGTGATGACTTACAGCTCTCCGGCCATGCATTTCCTTTATAGAAAATATACCTTTGCCCTCTAATATGGGACCCGTCACATGGAAACATTCTTTGAAAAACAGAAACATGAGACTTTCCATTTTGATCCTGTCAATGACTCATCTAAGCCAGTGTCATGCCTCTGCCAGTGACCAGCAACAGCTGCTTCAGAGGAAGGCTCAAGAAACTCTGCAGAAGGCAGTTGTGGGATAACCTGCCCATAGGAGAAGTTTCTGACTCATTTCTATTAATTACTCAGACCTAATCTCCATTATTGGCTAATGCCCTGAGGCAGGAAAGTTTATATCCCTGCCAAACAAAGTGAAATAAGTCCGTCTCAGTCTACCGCTGCTCAAGGGTATGGCACACACCATTGTGCTTGGATTGCCCAGGAAACGCACTAGCTTCTCACTCTCCTTCGAGATACAAGGGTGACTAGCACATTTACAGCCTGGCCTCCTGAGGAATAAAGCCTTGCACAATCTACCAATGGCAATTTCATCTTCAGATCACAGCACTCATGGAGAACTAATGTCCTGATAGCTCTGAGACCACTGTTCTTACCTCCTGCAACAGAGTCCACTCCTCTCTAGCCTCCCCTCATGGCCAGGCACGGCCTCACCTCTTTCCCGCTGGGGAAAGCCCCTGCTAATGCTCACTCCAGTGCTGTGGTGGTTTCTCTGTAGGGTGACCAGACAGCAAGTGTGAAAAATCGGGACGGGGGTGGAGGGTAATAGGAGCCTATATAAGAAAAAAACCCAAAAATCGGGACTGTCGCTATAAAAACAGGACATCCGGTCACCCTATTTCTCTGCCTTACGAGCTGGAGGGACCAGAGAGGCCCGCTTCAGAGACCGGGTAGGATGTAGCCCAGGGGCAGAACTGCACCGTGTGGTGGGTGTATTTGGTCAGCGTGGCATGGATGGCCCCCCGCTGACCCAGCAACGGGACCTTCGCCTCCCACCACTGTCAGGGCCCTGGGCTGGAACGCAGTGGAGTTGGGTGGGCCTGCGTTCCCCTCCCCCGGCCAACCTACCTTGGGTAGCAGAATCGCATGCTACAAACCCGAACTGACGCTCCCCGGCCTGAGGGGCGCGCTACGGACTCGTGCCGACGCTCCCCGGCCTGAGGGGCACGCTGCAGACTCGCGCCAACGCTCCCCAGCCTGAGGGGCACGCTACAGACTCGCGCCGACGCTCCCCGGCCTGAGGGGCACGCTACGGACTCGCGCCGGCGCTCCCCAGCCTGAGGGGCGCGCTACGGACTCGCACCAACGCTCCCCGGCCTGAGGGGCGCGCTACGGACTCGCGCCGATGCTCCCCGGCCTGAGGGGCATGCTACAGACTCGCACCAACGCTCCCCGGCCTGAGGGCGCTACGGACTCGCGCCGACGCTCCCCGGCCTGAGGGGCCCCCCCCCTACGGACTCGCGCCGACGCTCCCCGGCCTGAGGGGCGCGCTCGGACTCCCCCCCCCAGGGCCTCGGACTCGTGCCGACGCTCCCCGGCCTGAGGGGCGTGCTACGGACTCGTGCCAACGCTCCCCGGCCTGAGGGACGCGCTACGGACTCGTGCCGGCACACTTTCTCCGCTCATTCCCCAGCGCCCGAAAGGTGTGATTGAGGCCTGCCCATGGGACCATAGCTCTCCATCGCCCCTTTGGGGCTTGGTGGACCGATTGAAACCTGTCACAGACCCCTTCAGGCCGCTCTGAAGGAGCCTTCCAGTGAGTGTAGATGTTATGCGTCCCATCCCAGAGCTGCCTAAAGGAGCCTTTGTGGAAGTGAGATTCAGGCCTACAGATCGTTAAGAAGAAGCCAAGAGGAAGGGAGGCATTCGAGGAAACAGTCGCAAAGTGCAACCTGGGAAATGCAGCTACAGGGCAGAGAGCCTGAGGTGCTGAGCACCCACAGCTCCCAGGGGAGTCGGGGGTGCTCAGCAGTTCTGAAAGCCATTGCCCATAAGCTCAGCCGTGAGTCCAGATCTTGCTTTGCGTTGCCTGCTCGCCTCTGGTTCCGTGGCTGTTCCTCCTCAGCAAAACAAGTGTGTCCATACTGGTATCTCTGGCGACACTGGCAAGGGTAAGGGGAGCAGCAGCCATAACACCACCTGTGTTGCCTGCGGTAACACCATGGCTTCCAGCCCCTGCCACAGCAAGGGTTGCAGCAGCCAGGATGACGGATCTGTTGGGGGTGGAAATACATCTTCCTGCTTTGGAGGTAAACCTGAAACGCACAGCAGGGAAAAGAGTCAACAGAACACGCGGTGGCCAGTGGAACGAAGGGATCAGTGCTCAGTTACTGTTCCACCTGCAGCCATGGAGAGAAAGAGAGAGACTGAGCAGGGACATTGTTACCTAGCCCCTCAATTCCTGGCTATATTTTGCCCCCTGTTTCCTCCTCTTTTTTAGTCCTTTTACTCCATGTTAGACACCCTCCTAACCAGCCACTTTGAACCCTTCTCAATCCCTTGGTTTTAAAAACACTGACTGGAGTAAGTAAACATGCGATATGATGTATGGCTATCATGCATGGAAGGGATTTTTATTGCTTTTACAAAATGTCTCTACAAACGTCGGCAGAACCTAAGCTAAACTTCCTAAGGTTACTTTCCTTGTGAGGATTTCCGCTCAGGGTGCAAACCACGTCTCTGCACAACCACAGGGTAGCACTTTGGCTTCTAGAGCTTGTGAGTCAGCTATTTCTGCTAACGAATGAATGGAAAATACTCTGTACCCAATACCAAATGCTAAGGGCCTGATCCTGAGCAGGGTTAAATCAGCTTCGTTACACTAACTTCATTGGAGACATGCTGACTTACACCAACCTAAGATCTGCCTCTAAAATTGCTCCTTGCACACATCAGAAGAGAGGAATTGTCAGACTTGGTCAGACCGGTGGTCTGTTTAATCCAGGCTCCTGTCTCAAAGAGTGTTGAGAATTAGCTGCTTCCGAATAAACTTGACAAACACGGAAATGATCCTTTATGGCACGGGTGGCCAACCTGAACCTGAGAAGGAGCCAGAATTTACCAATGAACTTTGCCAAAGAGCCACAGTCATACATCAGCAGCCCCCACATCCACTACCCCTCTCCAGCCTCCAGCGCCTCCAGCTCACCGGCAGCCCCGCCAATCAGCGCCTCCCCCTTCCTCCCCATGCCTCCCGCCTACCACAATCAGCTGTTTCGCAGTGTGCAGGAGGCTCTGGTGGGGAGGGGGGAGGAGCGAGGGCATGGCAAGCTCGGGGGAAGGGGCAGGAGCCTTGGGGGTAGGGATGGAGTGGTGGCAGGACCTGGGGCAGAGCAAGGGGTTGAGCAGTGAGCACCCCACAGCGTATTGGAAAGTTAGCTTCTGGAGCTCCAGCCTTGGAGTCAGCGCTGATGCAAGGAGCCACATATTAACCTCTGAAGAGCCACATGGTGCTCCGGAGACACAGGTTGGCCACCCCTGCTTTATGCTAGAGTAGTTTCTTCCCCAAAACCCTCACTTAAAGCTGGGCTATGAGGTTATTCCACGCCACTGGGGAGGTTCCAGTTCCCTATTTTCAATTCAGAGTAATAGGAACTGGGGATCAGACAAATGTCTGCTCTGCAGTTCTCACCCTCACCTTCCCAAGCATCAATTCACCAATGCCGGCAACTTAAGAACCTCAACAACAAAATTAGGGGAAAACTCCTTAGCATTGCTAAGAATCAGAATCAATGTACAACATTCAGTCCTAAATGACAGCGATCACTAACATGACACGTCAATTGTATCGAGAGATTGATTCAACTCAGACTTACCCAGTCGCCAAGGAGAGTAAGTCGAGAGAAGTGGTTAGAAAAACCTGGGCTCACAAGAGCTTTTATACTGTCTAACAGACCTCCGGGAGGATCTGAGACACCCTTTGTGTATGAGATCCTGCTTAGTTACCAAACAAATTTTGTTGCGCACATCAGTCTTTCCACTGATATAATGGTTTTCCTTATCAATATTAATCTATTGCCAATCTCATATGGAACAACAACCATATGATACACCCTGCAGAAGTCTTTGATATGAAAATTTTCATGGGAGATCTACATTCCTGTTATTTTCTTGACTTCACTGGAGTTACAACGGGAATGAATCTGAAGGAAATTGAGCTAGATCAGTGCAACTGGTATAGGAATCCAGTCCAGTCCTTTAAATACAGGCGGGTATTGGTTAGGGACATTGTGGCATATACCACTGCAGTTCTTTAGAATCAGGGAGCCTTCACCCCTGGCAGAGGGGCAATACAAGGCCTATGAACAACTTTCACTTTCAAAATAGGTCTTCTCAGACATAAGTTTGCATAGACTTTTGTTCTGCCTTGGGGTGAGTTTCACCTTATCGGGATAAGAAAATCATCTCTCAATAGACCTCCCCTTATCAGGGTGATCATCAAAACAGAACTATACATTTCTGCTTATTGAATTGCTGCTCACTGTTTGTGTTGAATGCTGGTGGTACAGTGTTTTCTAAGGGCTTGGAGTTGCAACCTCAGCACTCACATCTTCATCCATGAGCACCTACGAGAACTGAGGTCTCCTGAGAAAATGCAGATGATGTAGCCCACGAGAAACACAAAAGAGAGGGAGAAAAGGCAGGATTAAAGGGATTCTGCAACATGATATCAATTCTCTGGTTTCCGTTCAGCTCCATTCCTGTGAGTTGGTTGCCTAAATCCTTCATGAATCTGGCCTTGTGGGTAACAATTCACTCCTGCAGAGGGACCCAGTGCCTGGGCACTACTTACAAGCCCATAGTGAAAAGAGAATCAGGTCTGGCAAGAGGCTGTAAATCAGAAGAGGTATTACCCTGCAATTCCCCTGCTAGTGCCAGCTAATGCCAGTCGGGTGTTCGGTATCCCGTCTCATTGACCTTGTCAGTCACGGTTTAATGCCTGACAAAAGGAACTTGGTTGTGTGTTCCACATGGGCAATGTGAGAACTTAACTGGTTCCTCCAATTCCCTCCCATACCCTGAGGTTAGAGACCAGCCTGGTGTTCTCCCCACAAGGTACTCTCACCTCTCACCATTTTTTAATTGAAAGGGCTTCAGGTTTACGTGTAAGAAATCGGACACATTTTAGGGGTCTGGTCCTGGTTTTTAATAATGCTTCTAGGGCAAAAGGGGAATCACAGTCCTGACTGGGGCCCTGCAATTACATGTGTTATCGAAGTGAGTGGTGCATTCGTCTCTACCTGCAAATCAAATTCCAAAGGCTTCCTAAGGTAGAACTGCAAGAGTTAATGGAGGTGGAATTTAATGACTGGTGGGGTTGTTAAGGAAATCTAGGGTAAGAATGCTTTCCTGATAGAAAAACTTAAAGGGAAACAATCTAAATTTCTCTAATTGTAGGGAGTATCTGCTCTCCCCGGGGAATAAGATGAATGGCCAGGGTATTCAAGCAAATCCTGTCAGCCTATCTGTTATTCGTATGATGAAAGCAAATGGCCTCATTTTAGATCCGATTGCCCAAGACCCTTGAGCTAACCATAGGATACAGCGTTATAATGTTGGGGAAATAGGACTTATTAGGAAGTCTGTGGAACTGTTTACCAAGACAGTCTTTCAATGCAGAAGGATGAAAAATGACTACTTGGACCTGATCAATTTTGATCAAGGTTCTCTGGTGGACCATTGCTTGCCGCAAAAGCAAGTCTCAGGATATGGAATATAGGAATGATTTATCTCCATTTTATTTTGTTTTCCTTCAAGAAACTTTGCTGGCTAAGGATGAGAGATTTAAGCCCCTAGCCTTTGAGAAGAGGGTGCTAAGCATGCTAAGAGCTGGCCCTTTATGTTCCCATTCAATTCAATGTTACTCCCCTCAAGTCAACACCAAGCTTTTAGCTTCCCAGATAAATTGGTTTCATTAGCCCAGAATATTTATTAACCCCCATCAGGCTCTCCTCTCTAAGTAATATCAACTCATGTATGGAAAAGGACCCATTAGCTGACTTTGTGCTTTGGAGAGACTTTAATGCTTGACTGGGTCCTGGGGACAGGGAAATGTTTAATCTTTCCACAAACTCAGGAAAAGGTATTCAGTGTTCAAGCATCAAAAAAGAAAACATTGCAACACAGAGGCTTCCTAGTCACATGTGCCTATTGAAAGCAGAGTTCTGGACGTTCCTACACAGCACTCTGTACATCACCATATTCTCATGCTACAGCACCGCCCTCTGGGGAAGCTATCTATTGTAAGACAAAGAGCTTTTCATTTCATTTTCCCTTAGATAATCTATGGAAAAGGCAAGAAAAACCTTGTGTTGCATGCATTCTGTAATTTTAAATAGATTGGGTTGGAGCTGTTGATTGGTGGAGAATGTGATGATATGGAACACCATTTCACATTGACCTCGAACAGCGGGAGCTGCCTAAGAGTACTGAACAGTACTAATTTTAAGGTAGTCCTGTTTTTACTAATTTTCCCCTTCGGGTGTATGTTTATCTCCTATCCAGGGGATACAATCTCAGGCAGAGTCTTCCAACCCTGAATCTGAAGTTGTCAATTTAAGATGAATTAAATGGAACCTCTTAGTTAATCTTAAAATTAAACAGAAACTTACTTCTAATGACCTGATAGTTTAGAAGAACAGACTACAGAATTATATGGATGCATTACAGGTCCGTATAGTATTTACTGACATTGGTGAAAAGTTACAGGATAATTTAGCTAGTGAGAAGGTATAGCTTCATCCTGTGAAAGATAAGAGAGTCTGGTAAGATATGAATTGTTTCGGTTGTAAGAAGCTGTTTCAGGAGCGTGGTAAGGGCTTTTAGAAATAGAGGGCCATTAGATTCCATTAGGAAATTAGTTATTTTTAGAAGGAATTATAAAAATTGTTAGATAAGAAAAAGTTGGATCATCAAGGACCCTTTGGAAGGAATTTCAACTTTGCTCCAATCAAAAACCATATGGTTTGATACTGGAAGGTGGTAGCACTAGGCTGTAGTAAAGCGAATGTTCTTTTCCTTAAACACTCATGGGAGAGAGATTCTTTTGCTCTTTATAGTGATAACCTAACCATCCATCCTCTAATATGGTCTGTTCCAATGGACTTTTCCTGTCGTGCTCTTCCAGAATTCTTCCAGTTTCCATTAGGAAAGTTACAATTGTAGTAAGTTTTGGACATTGAGTGCTTAGGGTAAATTTTGTACTCAAATATTATAGGCTGTGGCTACTTGAGGGTGGAATAAACTTAGAACATTAAAGGCAGGGCAAGATACATTTTTGAGAAGAATGCTTGGCTTTCCTAGCTATGCTGCAGCTGCTTTACTCAGGGCAGAGGTGAGTGAATCCTCTACTTCCACCAAAGCACAATGCTTCTCTATTATTTTGGGTATGAATTGAGAATATGAACTTACATCAGCTACCAAGGTTACGTCTGCAGGAGCAGTTTAATAAGTCCAAAATGGTAACATTTCCCCTGCTTTTGAAAGTCTTTTGAGCGGTCCATTCTTGGGCAGTTTCAGAACTAGGTTTTGTCAAGTCTTCAGATAAGAGTGTGATAATATACATTAAGCTTAGAGCTGAAGAGATCTGGTTAATAACATAGTGCATGTGCTCTATACTCAATGTTTGCTCTTCTTATCGATGATTCAGTAAAGTCCATTCTCAAAAGAGACTTATGCATGGTTAAGGTGAAACATATATGAGTTGCCCTTTGATTTCAGGAAGACCAATCACCTGATTCAAGTTAAGCACCTCAAAGCCATCCCACTATTAATGAAAGGAAACTTTGCCCTCGCCCCTCAAGTGACTTGGGAATTTTGTTCTGAAACTTAAATACTGACACGCCTCCATAAGAACTTTTTGTTTTATTCTTCTTTCCGAGTCCTGCCAGGCCCTCTAGTGCCCCAAGAGATCAGACAAAGCAGAAGTCACTCTCTGGATTCTTAAGTGAATATAAGAGTCTGTCAGATCAGATCCTCTACAGTCTCTTTGCCCTCACTTAGCATTGGCGTATGTTTTTTTCAAGATCCAGGGCAATGGTAAATGGGACTAAAATATTTTAGCTGTGTGGTTAGTCTGCTGGCATGTAGAGAACACCAACCAGTATTGTCTCCTTGTTTCCTTGTACTCCCACCTCTGTACCCATCTGTTGTCCCTCTCCTATACTTAAATTGTAAACTCCATGGGGCAGAGACCATCTTCTTGTTCTGTACTTGTACAGCCCTTAATGCCATGGGGTTCAGGAAAAGGGCTCGGATATGCTATAATAATACAAATAATAAATAGAGATTTTTGGATTCCAATAAATCTAAATTAAATTAATGCTCTTCTCATTCTTTATCCAGATGTGTTTATGAACTGAAAAGATAATTCATGGAGGATGTTGCAAACACACCACTCATATGGCTCTCTGAATCAGGTCTTGATTATAGCCTTCAGGGGGGTTATTTTCCATTAAACTGTGGCCTCGCTTGTGTTTTCATAAAAATTCCTTAGGCAATTTACAAGAGTCAGTGAAAGGGAGCAGAGTTGGTGCATCAGGGACAGGAGCTCCGGAGGGCAAGGATGCCAAGCAGGGGCTGTTTCAAGGAGCCAAGACAGAGAGATCTGTGGGCAGTGGGACAGACGGGAGGGTATGTGACTGCGGGGTTGGTGCTCCGGGCAGCGAGTAGGGGGAAGGTTGGGAGAACTGGGAGGAAGAGTAAGAGATACTGAGCTAACCACCTGCTACCAGCTCTCCTGGCAACCAACCTCATCATTGATGATTATGGGGGCTTTTTCAGTGGTGCATCTCACACCTGTTATGAAAAGAAAAACAGAGAGTTGATAAACATTCAGCTTTG